ACAATTTTTCTACTTCATGAAGTACGTACAACATTTATTTGCAACTCTGACGTATACCTGATCACAATTTTCCACTTCATGAAGTACGTTTAACACTTGTTTGCAACTCTGACATATACCTGATCACAATTTTTCACTTCATGAAGTACGTTTAACACTTGTTTGCAACTCTGACGTATACCTGATCACAATTTTTCACTTCATGAAGTACGTTTAACACTTGTTTGCCACTCTGACGTATACCTGATCACAATTTTTCACTTCATGAAGTACGTTTAACACTTGTTTGCAACTCTGACGTATACCTGATCACAATTTTCCACTTCATGAAGTAGGTATATGTCAGAGTTGCAAACCGTACTTCATGAAGTGAAAAATTGTGATCATGACTGAGGCATGGTTGAACCAAATACTCTAATACTCATACCAGGTGTTATTAGCAGTAAATCTACAACTAGTGACTGGAATGTAGTGGAACCAAATACTCTGGTATGTCTTGAGGTTGATGTGTTGGAAGACCTCTCACAGATCTGGATCTGAAGAATAAAGATACCGTGCATGACTTTTACTCAAGAAAGGCTTAAATCAGCTTGTGAGGTTAATGAAATGTCACTCATAGGTGGTACCTGGACAGGAACAAAACCTAATAATATCTCGTATTAATATAACAGATGAGCATGGTAGTTACTTATGAGAACAGAAACACGCTTACATCATGATTTTTTACAAAACCAAATTCAAAGAGTCTTGATCCTCTATGTTTCATCTTTGTGATCAGGTATATGTCAGAGTTGCAAACAAGTGTTAAACTAGTTGTAGATTTACTGCTAATAACCAAATACTCTAATACTCATACCAGGTGTTATTAGCAGTAAATCTACAACTAGTGACTGAGGCATGGTTGAACCAAATACTCTAATACTCATACCAGGTGTTCAACCATGCCTCAGTCACTAGTTGTAGATTTACTGCTAATAACACCTGGTATGAGTATTTCACTTTTTGGTGTTATAATTCCCACCTTCACTGTTATAGGAAGTTCTACCTTTGATGTATAGTAATTGTCATGTAGTGCATGGGGATTTCTTGACCATACACTTTGAAAGTACTCACACATCACGTTGTTTAGAGAAGTTTCTTACAGTAAACGTAACTTTCCTGTTTGTGGAACTTTGTGTCCATTTGGCTGGAGACGGCTTGAATGGGTAATGAAGAAAAACTTTAATATAAGTTTAACATAACAGCAAATGTCATCATCATCATAGACAGCAGTACATCGATAATTCTACCGAAGCTTAGCTGCCACACAATCATGAATTATTATTACAAGAAAATGGG